TGATCAATGAAACCTGGAAATTTATTAATTTTAGATTGCGGATTTTTGATGAGAGATTTGATATCGTGTTGCATATTGTTATACCAATAGATATCACATACGCCACCATCTTCTCGTCCTTCTGGATACTGAAATTTTGCATTAGTTGAATATAATAATTAGAATAATTTGAACCAAATTTTCTTTCCTTTTTTTTGAAATGCATTGTTTATTATTATTCTTTTGATTTCAACAATTATAATTAATATTATGCTGCATAATCACTAAATTTTCGTTTATAAAAGATTAGAAATGCATATATTTTACTGCTTTCATTAAAAATTAATTTCTCTATAATAAGAATTTTGAAAGAAAAAAAATTTTGTTTTTTGCTGACCTCACGTATACCCAATTGTGCAGCACATATGGAAACGATGTGCTTGTTTGTTTTAGCACGTGATGTATCGATTGTAAAATTTTGCGCAACAGTTTTAGCATAACCAAACGATGAAAATGGAAATGAAACGCTGCAAAAATTGCACAAAAATAACAATTTTTTAAAATTAAATAAAAGCAAAATTTGTTTGTTTTTGGAAAATTGAACCAAATAAAAATGATTTCATCTGAGATTAATTTTAAAAATAATAGAAAAATCGATAATTCGTATCTTTCATAGTAATCAGAGTTAATGATTACTTTGAGTGACTGGTTGAATGTTGCAACTTTTCCTCATTTTTTTGCAGTTCATCCCGAAATTTTTGGATGTTATTGGTATTATCAGTTGATATTACTACTGTTGGAGGCATATTTCCATGCTTTTTACCACAACCATTTCCATACATTTAGCAATTCTATTTCGTGCATTCGGGATCTATCGATTTTCCGATTCCTCAACAGTATTGGTGTCCGACATTTTTGCGTTAGTTTGGATAATTCTTTGTGATTTTTCTGCAATATCACAAAATACAACCCATATTACATCATGCAAACCTGTAATATAACGTCGTGAATGATAAAACCCTGCAGGAGAGAAAATCGTTTCTTAAACGGATTAAATTAATACCGCTGTTTTATTGGTGCAAAAAGAGCGGTGAATGATCTAACAAGCAATGACCTATAACTCATAAGGATAAAATTAGAAGCCATGAATTTTTTTACCAAGTATTTAAATGATAGAAATGTCACACTTTATTGATTAATCCACAAAGTAGTGAAGTGAATGGATGAAATTGCTTGACGAAACCATCCAAAAAACGAAAACAAAAAATGTAGAGAATGTTTTAAAATTGTATAGGAAAAATCCTGAAAGAAGCAATTTTAATGTCATCTTGAAAAATTACATTATAAGCGAGCACACTACTTGAATGTGAAAATTTATTCATTTGTTAAAGAAAATAAGCAAAAAATTTAAAAATATTACCATTAAAAAGTGAAATTTGGAAAATTTTGACATTTGTGCAAAAAGTAATTATTATTGAAAATATAATTAAAATTTGTCGATTTATATCACACACGAAAATATAATGTGATATAAAAAATACAATGTGAGAAAAAGAAACTTAGAAAAAATAAATTCAATAATTTCAAGTTAAAATTTCGTCATAAAAGTTAGCGGCTAGTTTTATGCATAATTTTAGCAAAAATTTGATTTAAAAAATTTTAAATGTGGGAATTTTTTTGAAAAATTTCTAATATTCATAACAATTCAGTGAGAAAAATAAAATATATAATGAAGTAAAATAAATCAACAAAAATAATAGCAAAGTATTTACAAGGAAATTAATCGAGCGAATTGGCTCAATCAGACAAAATTGTTGCACTAAAGAACAAATATTTCAAAATTCTACTGAAATAGAAGTGAAATTTGACTAAGTTGTAAGCAGCAAGTCCTCAATCTTTACTATTCTCTCTGTCTCCTCGATCCTCCCTCATAACGATTTTTCATATTCAAAATTTTTTCCATTCTTCCCTTCACATCCTTTTCCCTTCGCCGTTCACCAAATCGGCACACAGAAAATCCCTCGAACTCTTCTCTTCTTTTTTTGCTTCCTCTTTCGCTATTTAATTTGAAATACATTTCAAACCGTTATCAATCATCTCGTAATTGTTAATTTTTGATATTTAAATGAGAGAAATTGCAGGAATGCATGCTAAAACGATCATAATAAATGCAAGCTAGTAAAACAAACATTTCTCAAATTTCAATACCCAATACTTAATACATTACATGCATATATTTGCAGTAATTGCAGACTTTTACGACATGTAATAAGCGGAAGTGTGGAAAGAAATAATAATGCACGGGAGAAAATCTATTATCGCATTTATTATTGGTAATGTTTTTATCAACAAAAATATATTATTTCCTAAATTTATTCAAATAAATGTTTTTTTTCCATCTGTTTATCTTCAACTGGTCAATTTTAAAATGAAGTGGAAAAGAATAGTTGAAATTTTATCAAAATTTTATTACAATAATTATTCCCATCAATTCAGATACCCAGTTGATAGGGAAAAAATTGAAATTTAACAAAGACTTATAAGTGCTTTAAAAAATTTGATTACCTTTTTTAAAAAATAATATGTTTGATATGTTGAAAATATTATAGATCATTTTTTGCTGTTAACTATTCCAATGCTATACTGTAAATGAAACATTCACCGAACAACTTATTTGTGTATATTTACGAAGTTTGACAAATGAATCACAAAACGGTGGTGAGAAAGAAAGAGGTAGAAAAAGAGGAAGAAGTAATTTGATCATTTATCCTGGTGAAGTCTTTGCGAAAAATAAAAATAAAATTATTCGTCAATCATGCAAACGTTGTTATTCAAACTTCAAAACATATTTTGATTCTTCTACTTTAGCGCAATTTAACTTCTCGAGTTTAATTAATTAACCAGACTCATTTTAAATATGATTTGAATAAATTATGACTTTTTAATGCGAAAAATCTTTGAAATTTAGCATAATAATAATTTATAATTATATTGAGCACATATAATAGCCATTCCTATTATTCAAACTTTTCTAAGCGGCTATTTAATCGTTCTTATCGTGTCAATACTCATAATTACCAATCATTCAAATATGGAATTTTTGACAATATTGATAATTTAGTTATGATATTATCAATCATGAATATTACTCAACAGTTCACTTAACTATAAAGTTTCTCTTCATTATTCATTTATGACTATCCACGAACAATTATTTAATCTTGAATATTCCTCGTTAATCAATTGTGATTTTTCTTATTAACTTGATGTTCGTACTAACTTTATGAATATTCTTGACTAATTGATTGTGAAATTTTCTCACTTGATAATTCTTATAAATATTGATGGATAATTCGGAATTATATAATCATGAGTATTCTTGATAATTCTAGTCATTTGACTTATTATAGCTACTTAGCAAGCAATAATAAAAATATATGAAGTTTTATTCCTTAAAAATAAATTAAAGGGAATTAAAATGAAAAGGGAAGAAAAAGAGAGAGAGTGAGAAGACGACGAAGTAAATATTATTTCGTTGAAAAAGCTTTTTGCTCTTTCAGTGGGATATATTTATATAATAATCGAATTGAGAAAATAAAAACAGACTATTGATTGCTGAAGAAAATGTCGTTGACTATGAACCGATGAATAGTTACCTATGGCAACGTAATCTCACTCCGTCTGCTTTCAAGATCGAAATGCGCATTTTAAACAGGAATTTTAGTTTTCATATTTACAATTCAAATAAAAGTACGAATTAATACATTGTGCCAAAAAAAGAAACTCAAAAAAATATTTATTTATTTGTCTTTCTGAGCTTCTTTTTTCTTTTGGAAATTATCGAATTTTCTTGTCACGAAATCGTCAAACATATTTTATTAAACTTAATGATCTAATTAATTTTTTCCACCGTTTTAATTCCAAATAATGATTACTTAATTAGTGAATTCGACAGGTAAAAATTAACCGCTGACAGTTTTTATCTTAAGAAACTGATGTTATGATAGCATCTATTAACAAATGATTGATAAGTCAATAGGCACCACCGTTAGCAATTATCGAGTAAATGAACTCTTTTTCAATTTTTCCTTTCCATCTTGCAAATTATTCTTTCTTTAGCGTTT